AGGCCGAGTCCCACATACAGCAACTAGAAGGATGTGCAGCTATGACATACAACTATCTACTGGGGCTTTGGGGGGAAAAAATAAAATAAATAAAATCTTTAAAAAAAAAAAAAAAGAAAAGAAAAGCAGATCTGTGATTGCCTAGGCCTGGGGCAGAGAAATTGATTGGGAAAGGGGTACAAGGGAACTTTTGGGGGCAAAGGAAATGTTCTCTATCTCGACTGAGGTGATGGTTACATGGGAGGAGGTAAAAGTTTGTCAAAAGTCAATGAAATGTACACTTAAAATGTGTGCACTTTATTTTATGTAAACAGTACCTCAATAAAGTTGATTTACAAAAAACAAAACAACAGTATACTTTTAATTAACAAGTGCAACATGAATACCTTATTTTAAAAAATTAATGTATTATGGATAAAGCTAAAGTTTCCTTTGACTAGTCTCCCTATCCTGGTTTCCACCCCTTCTCTCTCCCATCTACACCTCCTCCCCCAATAATCACTGTTACGAGTTTGGTATGGGGTCTTCTGAACCTTTAAAAGGACTTTGGTGTTACCATAATGTTGAACCATATGAAATTGCTGCTCGTGTAGGTCAAAACCATTTGAATTATCAGCAATTTCATATAGCATAACTTAATTTATAATTTTATTTTTTAGTATGATTTCAATGATTTTACTAACTGGAAGAAACTAACTATACATATATTCGAATATATATATAGCCACAGAAACTGTACACTATTGTTTTGTCCATAAATATAACTTGTACATATCTTCCCATTACTTGCTGTTTTCACTTAGCATGTTTCTGAGATCTATTCACGTTAATATAGATAAAGTTTCTTTTAAATCCAATATAGTAATCTATCATATGACTATACTATATTTTATTTATTTAGCCAGGCCATTCCCTTTCTGACACATATTTAGGTTGTTTTTCCCTGTTACAATTCCCCAGTGTAGTGGTAAATAGTAGTTACCACCAGGGTGGCCACAGGGATGGCAGATGATGTTCCAAGGGGACTTCAGCCTTATCTGTAAGGTTTCTTTTGTACAGTGAGAATGTATTCACTTATTATATAGTTTAAGTATAGACTTTAATTAAAGCATTTTCTGATACATAAATTATCACAAAGAATGAAACAAAATCAGAAATAGGAAGCAATCATCTGTTAAATTATAAGGAAAACAAAGTTATAGGGCATCACAGTGTACTCATGGCTTGAGACATAAGTATTTATTGAAAAATAATGATCTGAGCGCTAACAGATCACAAAAATACATTCTCCTACTCAAAGCCATTATAATTAAAATATCAACATGTTAGTTATCATGGCATAAGCATATTTAATACATGCACAAATACTTCATTTACATTTTTTGCTTTCTTCTTTTATGACTATGATGTCTTTCCCCATCCCTGAAATGAAAGGAGTGAAAAAACACTATTATAACTGATGGACATTTTACTATCAGAGCTTTAAAGTAATAATTTACCAGTAATATACTTACTTTAGATATAAACCAGAACAAGTTAAAACATGCATTTAAAAATGAACAGTGATTTTTTTAAGAGTAAATATGAAAAATGTATCATTAAAACTAAGGGACAAAATCGAAATGGGGATAAGCAAAATGGAATTTTTTTTTTTTTTTTGGTGAGGAAGATTGGCCCTGAGCTAGTATCTATTGCCAATCCTCCTCTTTTTGTTTGAGGAAGACTGTTGGTTAGCTAACATCTGTGCCAATCTTTCTCTACTTTATATATGAGATGCCACCGCAGCATGGCTGGATGAGCAGTGCTTAGGTCCACACCTGGGATCCGAACCCGCAAACCCCAGGCCACCAAAGCAGAGCACATGAACTTAACCACTACACCACCAGGCCAGCCCCACAAAATGAAATTTTTTTAAATTGCACTTTGAAGTTCTGCTTTAAAATTAACTTCAAATATATGTATGTGATTGATGACCAGAGAATTCATTTCAAATAGAATATTAAAGTAATAGAAGGAATCCAGAAATTGTCTAATTTCCTTATCCTGGTTCCTACCTCAACGCCCTACAATTCATTCCAACTCAGGGGTGAAATCTAAGATCAGCCTTGCCCCATTGAGAAGTATTTCCTCCTAATACTCAGTTTATCCTCCCTAAAGGAAAATTACTTCATGTTTAGATTTTGAGGCTGTCTAATGGATTTATGTCAATAGGGATTTATCAGAGATCCCAAAAATTACTTAAATGGAAGAGGCACTAACAAACCAGAAAGAAGTGAAAGAACACAATTTCTGATAGATAATTAAGAGTTAATTTGTGTATAATTATCACAAAATATCATTCATTATATGAATCAAAAGGGATTATTAGGCAAATATTTCATTTTTATAAGAGAAGGACTAACTCATAGCCAGCTTTAAACCTATGAACTGAATGATAGTAAGATGAGCAAAATTATTAAACCAATAAGCGTTACTAATTCCTGATCACCTGTGGCCCTGAACAGACAAGACATCATTTGGGAGCCTATTATTAGACAAGCACTGTGCACAAAACACCTGCCTTCAAGGAGCTCACTGTCCAGTAGGGAAAATAATAACTTAAATTCAATAAAACGTATCTGCTAGGTAGAGTGGTGACGAAAATGGAAAAGATCAGCTCTGCTTGAATGAGTGAAAAGAGGCTTCATGGAAATGACTAAACCGGGGTCTTAATGGATGAGGAGTTTACCAAGCAGGCTTTAAAAAAAAAACTAGGCAGCAGAACATGACATGGAAAGGCATCGATGTGGCAGTGTGGATGAGGAACTGTAAGTACTCCAGGCTGCCTGGAGCATAAGTTATGCATTTCATGGGGGCAGTGGCTAAACACAAGGACAGGGAGGCGGGTGCCCTGATCCTGGAGGTCTTAAGGTCTAAAGAATGTGAATTTTGCCACTGAAGAGTTTTAAGAGGTGAAAATTCACTCTGGCTGTAGGGTAAGGCAGGATCCATGTGGGACCAGCTTACAGAAAGGCAGAACAATCAGGAAAACTACCATCCTTTTCCAGATGGACAGCAATAAGGACAGCGAGGAGGAGGTGCATGTGTGGTTATCTTCAGGTAGAACTCATGGCAATTAAGACTAGAGAGTAAGGAATAAAAAAGGAGTATCTAATATGACTCCTTGATATCTGGCTTTGTGAACAGATGATGGTCATCTTTAACCAGGATAGGAAGTGCTGGGGAAAGAGGAGCAGATTGATAAAAGGGTAAGTTCAGTTATAAACCTGATAAACTTGAGATCCAGGTAGATGCCCCAGTAAGCAGGTGTATTACAGGAACAGATCTCAATTGATTTAAATTTATTATTTTAGTATTAGTTCATCTCTCTCCAGCTATCAAAATTTTATCAGGGATATTTAACAAGGGCAAAATTAACTGACAACGTTTAGATCTTCTCTCTGACCCCATATACCCTTTAACGAAGGAATTAAGCAAGAGAAAGAACAAAAAAGAGAGGGAGGAAGGGAGGAGCAGAAGAAAGAGATCTAGGCAAACATCTTTTTAACACAGTTAACTTACCACCTAGACATTACTTTCATATGTCCCGGTTAGAAAACAAGTAATAAAAAAGGGAAATCCATATCCAATCAGGCATATAGAGAACTATGTCACCACAGCTGTAATTATTTGAACTAAAACAGGATGAATGTTAAGAATCTTCATCAATTATTTACTCTCCTACCTTACTTTACTCTTAACAATCCATTTTCTCAACATGGTCTACAACAGAAGGAAATGTTTACTTTTCAAAACTAAACTACTCAATACTGGATGATGCAGAGTTAGACTTACCTCTCTTTCCTTCTTCTTGAGTCCCAGTTTTTATCCTTATCTTTATTTCTTTTTCGTTTATGTGGGCTCCTACTCCGATCTCTCCTATGTCGTGAGCACTCAGCATCCAAATAGCTTCCACCAGACTGTCGGGAATCTACTGAAGCTGACCGCCTTTCTTCATTCCTGAAACATAGAAAAGAGCATTAATCAGTTAGTTGTAACCACTGGTCTCCAGTTCAGACCAGCCTAAAGTCCAATATTCTATATCAGACCAATGATAGAGCCTAAATAAATATGTCTAACCTTACATTCCACATATATGTATGTATAGCCTTACATCCCATATAAGAGACAGTCAAAGAAACACAGCTCTTAACAATGTTTTACAACTCTGGTATAATAATCCTGAGCAATGACAACAAGAAACAATAAACATTCTGATGAATTATGCTGTGCTACTGACAGTCTTAGAAATGCTAAAATTTAAACCATTATAGGTAACAGATTAAAAAGAGAATATTTTCACCAATAAACACAATGACATACTTCTCAGCATCATCCTCCGCTTTTTCCTGCTCTTCTTGCCATTGACTACTGAGTTCTTCCATGTGCACATTAATCACATCCCGAATCACCTTAGGAGAGGTAAGCACCAAATTTCAGATAAGAAAGCTGCTCAAAAAACTAAGACTACAAAGCTAGAAAAAAAATCACTGCCAACAATCAATCACATCTTTACTAAGAGCTATGATATAATGGACTGCGGGATGTGTGCAGTTTAGAGAACATAAAAAGGCAGTCGTCAACTGGAATATGAATGGTAGACGGAAGTACTGCATCAATGTTACATTTGCTGAAGTTGATAACTATACCATGATTATGTAAGAAAATACTCCTATTCTTAGGAAATACATACTAAGTGTTTAGGGATAAAGGATCATGATGATATATGTAACCTACCCTTAAATACTTCAGAAAAAAAAATTATGCATAGGTAGAGATTGAGAGAGCAAAAACTGTACAGATAGAGACAGAGAGTGCAAATGACAAGCAAATGGGGCAAAATGTTAACAACAGGTGATCTGGGCAAAGGATATTCAGGAGTTCTTTGTACTGTTTTTAGTTTTGCAACTTATTTGTATGTTTGAGATTATTTACAAACAAAACTTTTTTTAAAACCTTATAATTAAATAAGATGACAGACAAAATACAAAACTTATAGTCACTTCACAGATACTTTCCCAGTGAGACTATAAATCCCTTACCTAAGAATCACTTAGAAGTTTTTTTCTTTCATCTTTATCCATGTCATCAAGCACAGGGCTAGTCAATGGCAAGGCACAGATGAAACTAAAAGAAACTCACACTTCCCTCATGCCTAATCAGGAGATGTTTTAAGAAGGTATGGGGGGAATAAAGAGGCAATCTCAGAGACACACACTATAGTTCAGGTCTGACTGCGTTTCTCCCCACCTCAAAGAAACTTTCAACGGCTCCCAAAGTAAAATGGAACAATGTCCAAAATGTATAGTCTTCGAAGCTTTCCCAGATTTCACTGCATCACATAGTAAAGCCAGCCTTATCTCTCACTGGATATTCTTCAGAAGCCCTAGGTTCTCGCCACCCTGGATGACTAATGGGTCTCTGGAAAACTCCCATACTTGTATTTATTTTTAGGAACACTAGTCCTTCTACCTGAAAAATCCTCATCCATCATTTCCCCTCCTCCACTATATTCTCCTGTGGAAAATCTAAGACACGCCAAGGTCTACCCCCAGGAAGTGACACGAATCACACGCAGCTGACCTCCACTTCTAGCTCCAGCACCTCCAGAGCAGCCCTACCTGACCCCTGACCGGCAGCTCTACCTGAGCTCCATGAGCCCTGAACGTGACTGGACGCAGTTTCCATAGCCGACCTAGCACAGGTTCACCGCATAGAAGAGAGCCAGTAAACAGACATTCCCTTACCCCTCTGCTTCTCTTTTTCTCTCAAATACTGTCTTCTCCATGAAGCCTACACCAGTCTGATCTTTTAAAAAGAACTGCTCCCTCCTCCCACATACTTTGATCTCACCTTATTTTAGCACTTAACACAATCTGCATTTTGAGAGGTCTGTTTCACTTGTTAAACTACAATAAGCTCCTTGAGGGTAGGGTCTGTGTGCATTTTTCTTCACGTATCCCACAGCACTGTGTTACACAGAGCAACTACAGCACGTAATAAATTTTTGCTGAAATTTGTCAAAGTTCAGGTTCTAGTCCAGAGCAAACGAAAATTATATAGGATACGAATGAAGAGAGGAATGGATAAAATGTTGAAAAAGCCATGACCAGAGATAAGATAGAGCACTAAAAAGATTTGTAAACACTGAAGTATTTACAGATGAAAGACATCTGTTTCCAAGGTTACCAAGTGTGGGGGTGGGGGGTAGTAAGTGGAGGTATAAATAAAACAAGGTCATATGTTGATAACTGTTGAAGCTGAGTAATGGGTACTTTAGGGTTCATTAGACTATTCCATTTGATTCCAGCAGAATCAAAACTCAAGCCCACATCTGTCTAAAGCCAAAATCCATGCTGTTATCACGATGTAACATCACTTTCTCAAAAGGAGGTATTCTTTTAAGATTGCACAACCTCGTTATACAAGATTTGTGTTCTCTGGAAAGCCTCTGTCTAGTAAAGGGTGGGTCTGAAAGTGACAGAGCAGATACCAATCGGGTGTGGCCCCCTGAGACACTTTCTGAAAACCTCGAAGGAACTGTGGAAATCCATCAACAGACTTAGAAAACTATCTAAGGGAAATTTCTCTTCTCAACAAAGCTCTACACGATTATGTAAAACTTACTTCAGTATATGATTTCTTAGTTATGTGAACATTCTTAGCTCTATAGGACTGGCGTCTTCTTTTATAATCTCTCACTTCTGCCAGTATTTCAAGGTAAGATTTTGGACTTTTTCGACTATTATCTGATAAAAGAATAAAATAAAATTATTATATCCTTAGAAGCTTTTAAATTCTTATGAATTAGCAGAAAGGAACATCAGACCCATCCTATATTTCAACATGTTTCAATGTAGCAAACAAAAATATTCTAAAAATTCTATATTGTATCAATGGGCTAAGCTTTATATCATTCCTTTTCTGTAGCCATTAGTTGAACATGAGAGTTTTTAGGTACATAAAGTAACAACACAAATGTAAGTAATGTTCTTACAGAACGAAGGTACACAATGTAAAAATCAGAGACCAAAATTTCATGTACTCAGTAAACATCTTAATATATATACAAATATCAAATGATACAAAACCATACCATTCCAACTCAAAGCGGACTAACAAATCATCTTAATAACACTCAAAAGATAGAATGACAATTAAGAAATATAAAACCATGATATTCATTTCAAACCTTGATTGACTTTGGCAGCCAAGTCTACAAAGAGATCACTGTCATTTTCAATAATGTGAGAATCAGAGCGCTTTTTCTTTGTCTCCTCGATTACAAAATCATAGAGGGCCAGACGATCAGCTTGGGTTAGATCACAAACAAACCGTTTGTGATTCAGAGGAACTTCAACAGGCAATGAAGAGTAAGTCCCTAAAGTAAAAATAAAATCACAATAATAAACAATACATGAAGCATTGTGGACTTAAACTCTACTACTTATCTTTAAACATGCGCCGTAAGAACGTAATATTCACACAATTTTTTTCACAGTAATCCCTAAATATACAAAATATCAATCTATGTGATAAATGGTAAACTATGACTCTATTCTGAATGCTATATCCACAGAAAGGATGTACTGTCGATGTTTGGTATTCTCTCCAACAACGTTAAGACATATCTCATGAACGCAAGCAGTAATAACCATGAGACAATTACTGCATAAGAAAAGCTTTTAGGTAACAATTTTAAAAAGGCTACCCAGGGCCGGCCCCGTGGCTTAGCAGTTAAGTGCACGCGCTCCGCTACTGGCAGCCCGGGTTTGGATCCCAGGCGCACACAGACACACCGCTTCTCCGGCCATGTTGAGGCCGCGTCCCACATACAGCAACTAGAAGGATGTGCAGCTATGACATACAACTATCTACTGAGGCTTTGGGGAAAAAAAAAGGAGGAGGATTGGCAATAGATGTTAGCTCAGAGCCCGTCTTCCTCAGCAAAAAGAGGAGGATTAGCATGGATGTTAGCTCAGGGCTGATCTTCCTCACACACACACAAAAAAATGGTTACCCGTATTATAAAAGTAGACATTAACTTTCTTTCTGTTTATATGCTTTCCCCCATAAAAGCTGGAAAAAAATGCTTTTAACAGGTAACACACATTATAGTTCCTTTGAAAATAAATTATGGAAATATGAAAAATGTGTAAAAAATGTTGTTTTTATATGAGACATCAAGCTAGATGTTCCATATTCAAAATATATCCCACTTGTGCATTGACTGAGAGCTAGGGACCAAAAAACAATTAAGTAGCAGAAATCCCACACTTGCTCAGACCAGAGAAAGACACACTGAACTGAGACTAAGCTTGTTTTAAATTTCCTGAAGAGGAAGCAGATTGGCTTAACCAAATTAACTGAAAAAAGTTAACAGCAGTACCCCCAACAGTTACAGAACTTTCTAAAATCTGCTCATAATGAAAAAAAAAGTAAATACAATACCTTGATATGATGTATTAAACATTGAAGAAAATTTTTAAGATTCAAATTTTCTCATAGAAATAAAAAATTACTGTAACTGTAAATAAAGCAATTTAAAATGACTCTTTCTAGACTTCATTATTCACTACTAAAAACAAAGAACAGGAGCTACTAAAGGAATCCTTTTAACGTTTGCTAGGTTACCCTAAAGGAATAACCCTGGTTCACAGAACAATGTAAAATCATTAGCTCTTCCCAGATACTTATATTTGATAAAGTCTAACCTTGCTGACTTCCTAGGCAAAGAGGCAAAAGAAAAATTCAAATAAGAGCATACTATGAACTAAGCATTACAACACAAAAAAAAGACATGACTTTACACTTGCCTATAAATTAAGAGAGCTACACTGAATCTGAGTTCATGGTTTAACAGTTATGGATAACAATTCACGGCCATTTGTACTAGTCAAAGGGTTTTGAATTAGTGGGGAAAAAGGGTTCCCTTTCAAGTCATTCAATTTTACTCTAATTCTCATAGACACTAGGAAAAGCCTTTTTTGTTAAAACATTTAATTTTATACTATAAAAATGAGTTAGCTTTGATGAACCTAATTCCTTTGCATATAGGCTATAAAAATCTGGGATAAAAATACAAAGATTAGAAAATACTGATATATTATAAACAAGCCCCACATAAACCTTTGCTTGTTATTTTTAATAAAGAAATATAATTTCGCCCTTAAAATATTTTAGAGTTTTCCTTATTCATCCTAAATTTCTGTATGGTGAAGATTTATACTAAATTCTTTGAAATTCAACTAAAATTCCAAATCAAGACTGTAATATTGTGACAGTGATTAAGATAAAGTTTAAAAATTTGAATGATACTTTTAAAAGGATATCATTTGCAAAAAGGATACTGCATATCTTTAAATAAGGAGTACATTCAGGTTCCTAATTCCTCTTTATACTCACCCCAATTACTGAAAAAGAAAAAGTACAGGAAAAGTTAAACAACAAACTGCATTTAAAGCATTCAGAACACAGATATTTCTGACAAAGAAAAAATGGATAAACAAATAAGCTTACATTTCCATAAAATGTAAATTTTCAAATCAAAGGTTCTATATGATTTAGAGGTAATGTGAATGTGCTGTAATCATACTAATTCTGTGACCCTCTATCCAGTATTTTTATAGTTTTTTTAACCTATGGTAAAATACACATAATACAAAATTTACCATTTTAACCATTTTTAAGTGTACTGTTCAGTGGCATTAGTACATTCACATTGTTGCGCAACCATCACTTCTATCCATCTCCAGAATTTTTCATCACCCCAAACCAAAACTCTATTCTATTTTTTAAATAACTCTACTTCTCATTCTTCCTCTTTAGTCACTTTTGCGATCATGGGGCATCTTAAACATATGAGATGCAACATCAAATACTAATAAGAGGTATTGTGTCAAGGATACAAATTAGGAATTTTATGGAAAAGTCACACAGAGTCAATTTCCTAATAGTAGAGATAAAGAAATTAAGCCCCATAGAAATAAAATGTCTTGTTAAAGTCTCACAAGTGGTGGGAACAGATTAGGTCCAGACCATTACATCCTATCTCTTTAGGATTCTTTAGCATAGTCCACTGATCTTCAAATCATGGCCATGACTCAAATACACGCCATGAAATTGAAGTACAGCAACTTGAATCTTTAATACTGAAGGAAAAAGATAAACCACTACATATAAAATGATTATTTATGATAGAAATTAATCTTAGTTATAAAATTAACCAAAGTAACTACATCTGAAAATAAGTAAGTAAATCTAACGTTTGTTCAAGGTTTCATAAAGATTAATGAATTGAGAATTCAGTACCCTGAGTTTAGACCTGAGATGACCGATGAAAGAAAAACATAAATACTACCTCATCAAAAAATCTACAATTTAGTGCATAACAAACAAAATATGAATTAAATGAGAAAATGTAATATTGTTCATGTTAATCATTCTTCCTTTAAAGTAAATACATCGATAAGAAGATATTAAAGAGATTTTTGTCCTGGGGGTAAAAGATTTTAAAATGTCTAAGACATAAGTGGACCACAAAAAATAATCTCTATTGAGAAATTGTAGAACTCTACAGAGGACGAAAAAAAATTTTAAAGGAGGGTTATAGATCAAATAAAAATAGTTACAATTAAATCTTAAGATAGTGCAAAAATTCAAAATCAAATAAAAGTTTGTCTTAACTACCTATTGAAAGAACTATCCATTCAAAGTAATTCTTTGCTTTTGTAAAGAACTATAAACTTAATGTCCAAATCTGCCTTATTAACTCAGTTATATAAATGCAAAACTTAGAACATTTTCTAAATTACTCACATACATAAAATTCTCACCCCTTTCATTAACTTAATGTTGCTTTCTATAAATTAATTTGCTTAGAAATTAAATTGCTTAAAAATAGCAGCTACCAATTATTAGAGTTAGGGCTGGTTTAGCACTCATTATCTCTATTGTTTTAAACACCACAAGATAGTTTTATATTACAGACAAGGAAGCAAAAACTCAGACAAGTCATTTGTACAAAGCCAAGCAGATAGTTTATTTCTTTAAAACAGGCTTACACAAAGTAGAATAAACAACGAACAGTACTAATAGTAGCAGTGAGTACGCACAGATTTGAAGTTTGTGATATTCTTCTACTTAACCATGATAGATATAATAAATAACAAATACATTTGAGCAGTATCTAGAATCCTAGTCCATGAATTTCACTAAATGTAGCATTTCCAACAGAAAGCAGAGTAACTCAGTTCAGAGTTCGTGCCAAAATTCAGAATTTGGTTCTCAATCCAGCTTTGCTCTTGTCTAGGAAAAAAGTGTTAATTCACTTCTCTGCACCTCTACTTTTTCACCTAACATGGAGGGGAAAATACCTGCCCAGCCTACCACAAGTTTGTTGTGAAAGAGAAATGAAATATATAAGAGCTTTGAAAAAAGAATCTCTTTTAAAATACAAAAGTATTGAGGACGTTTAGAACACACACACTAGAACTTTATCATCTCTATCACGTGAGGTTTCCTTATCTGTAAAAAGCAGACTCTGGATTAGATGATCTCTAAGTCCTCTTTCAACTCTAAAATAAATTCGGTAAATGTATCTTAACTAATTACAGTCAAATAAAGTCCTTTAACTTTCAACCCCTCCAAAAAACCAAAAACAAAATCCTCTACTTTTTAATTGGTTTATTAACTAAACAGGGCAATGGGTAGAACCAATAACAGGGGCAAAAAAAAGGCTTGCTTGATCACAGCTCAGCAATCTCTTCGAATAAGATGGGAGTCAAACGCCTCCCTCAAAAAAAAAAAAAAAACCTGGAACTTAGCACAAAAGTACATAAAAATGGGAGCCTCAACACAAGAAACCCGGGGCCGGCCCTGTTGCATAGCAGTTAAGTGCATGCGCTACGCTGCTGGCGGCCCGGGTTCAGATCTCGGGCGCGCACCGACACACCGCTTGTCAGGCTGTGCGGTGGCGACGGCCCACACAAGATGGAGGAAGATGGGCACGGATGTTAGCTCAGGGCCAGTCTTCCTCAGCAAAAAGAGGAGGATTGGCAGATGTTAGCTCAGGGCTGATCGTCCTCACAAAAAAAAAAAAAAAAACCAGGAAACACAAGAAAGGTGTTTGTGGCTGTTGTAAGGAACCAGAGTAATGCAGACTCAGGATGAGAGACTTCCTCCTTCTGAAGCCACAGGGCAACTGAGGGAGAAAGCAAGCCCAGATACCAGCTTAGAACAATGTGTTAGACCGGTGAACTTCAACAAGGAAAACAACAAGTCCTAACTATGGGCTGGTTAATATAACTCGGCTAGAAAGAAGAGTGAAGGAAAAAACATACGATGTCCAGAGAAAGCTACCTCCAGAAGGTTCTAAGATGACAGCTCAGAAATCCTTATAAAAGGGGCCAGTCACGCTTTGGCTAGATGTTATACTCAGGTTCAGAAATCTATTAACTCTATTTACTTGTTTACTTCCATATTTTTGATGGATTAAGTTTTCTTTCAATTTCCTAAAAGCTGATACTTAAAAATTCTAACCTAGTCTTTGCTGAAGTAAGTCCCAGACAGAAACTCTAAACCCAGCTCCAAAGCTGGGCATGCAGAGATCCACAAACCCTCTGAAATGGAATGTAAAACTCTGTGTTTGTGCTTCATGCTGAGGGGAAGCTGTGGAGACTGATCTCTTTCTGCCTACGCTTTTCCTTTCACATCGCATTTCAACATTCTTACATTTAACATTGGGCTAATGCTCAAGACAGGAAAACAAGGTAAGACAGTCTCACTCAATGGGATTTATTTATTAAATAGCCATAATAAAAATAATTATCTACAAGACAATCTCACCTATTAGGTAATTCCAAAGCATGAACCCTTAGCTAAGACTGTCTTAGTGAGACTCTGGTGTAGTTGAACAGAAAATAACAAAGGAACCTGACACCAAGCACGTTAGTCTAATGTTAAATGTAAAACTGAACCTTTCCCATGTAACTGTTTCCACAAGATTTTTCCTGAAAACTAGTAACTATGTGTCTGTGGGAGAAAAATAGTTTGATTCATTAATTAGCTCAAACTATGATGCCACTTACTTTGATTATAACAATCACCATCTTTTCCAACTGCAGTTCTAGCTTGTTTAATTATCTGGAACTGTGAGTCCTTATCTGTCAAAAAAAAAAAAAAAAACCCATAACCATAATATGAAACATCAGTGTCCATAACTAAATTATTAACTGGTTTCCAATCCAAGCTCTTTGGGCACACTGACAAACCTTCCAGAATCTTAAGAGAGGAAACACCCACATCACTGCCTAGGCAATCTGAATGCAGAATTCTTTCAGATCTAGCTAGAGCCCAGTAAGTAACCAGACTTCACTATAATTAGGCACGCAGCAGTAGCCGCTACAAATTTTAGCAACCAATAATAGCTAACATTTCTTGAATCCCAGCTAAGCATAAGACACTGTTCTAAGCATATTATATATATATCATTTAATCCTCACAAAAGTGCTATTATCATCATCTCCATTTTATAAAGAAATTTAGGCAACAAACAGGTTAATTACCTTCCTGAAAGTCACTCATCTATTAGTGACAAAACCACGAGCTGAATCAGGGCATTCCGATTCCAGAGCCCAAGATTTTAACCTCTATGAAGATTTTAACCCCTACGTATGCTGTGAACACTTGGAACACATTTCCATCCTCAGTCTTCTCTTCAAACTGTGTTGTGGCCAGATTTTTGTTATAACCAAGAAGGAAGGTATCTATCCTACTGTGCAATGCTCTGCAGTTTTCACTGTCTATTAATATAAGCCTTGTCTCTAAGTTTCAGATTAAGCAAACTAATTTCACTGTACATTAATTAATCCTACATTCTCTGGTTACAAAACGTCCTTTTTAATCATAAACATACTTATCAAGTCCATTCTTTTGATAATTCAAAAATGAAATATCAATACCTATACTAAGATATTTTAAATTATAATCTATTAAATTAATACTTACTCAAAGTAATTGAAGGTATCTTCGCATTCTCATAGAAAAAATCAGAATTATACATTTTATCCTAAACAGTAAAAAAAAAAAAAAAAAACTTAGTGTTCTTGAGTAACAGATAATGACTATTTTAAGATTTGACATAAACCAACAATAGATGAGTATCCTTTAAATATTTCTTGCAATAATTTGCAAAATTAGGCAAGTACCCTTCTACCCCTTAAATGACTACTATTTTATGTCAGAAAACCTCACACCATCCCTTCTGAATACTGCGAACTTATTAATGCATGGACTATACGACGTGTACATAGCATATATGGGGTACCTCTTCTTCTTTGGTGTAGCCCAGCTTCCTCAGTCGACAAGACACCATGTGCTTTGCTAAAGACGATTTAGGCATGTGATGATTGGAATCATAAGGGCATATCACAACTTCATCCTATAAAAATCAAACAGAAGCAAAGAAAAAAGGTACATGATATTTAAAGAAATAACTATACCATTAGATGTTTACTACTTGATTAAGTGGAACTATCTAGTTCTCTCCTCTTCTGCAAAAAGAGGAGGATTGGCAGATGTTAGCTCAGGGCTGATCGTCCTCACAAAAAAAAAAAAAAAAACCAGGAAACACAAGAAAGGTGTTTGTGGCTGTTGTAAGGAACCAGAGTAATGCAGACTCAGGATGAGAGACTTCCTCCTTCTGAAGCCACAGGGCAACTGAGGGAGAAAGCAAGCCCAGATACCAGCTTAGAACAATGTTAGACCGGTGAACTTCAACAAGGAAGACAACAAGTCCTAACTATGGGCTGGTTAATATAACTCGAGGCAGTGGCTGTAAGCTTTTCAAAGAGTTGAGCTTTGAAGGGATGGAGAGGGGGCAGAGCCTATAAGGGGGATGGAGATGGAGGGAGGTTTTTTTAAATCTGCACATAAACTCACACAGGGGATTCTGATATGCCCTAGCTTAAAATACTTCCACGTGTCTTCCATTGCCCTCATTAAAAAAAAAATCTGGGGCTGGCCCGGTGGCGCAAGTGGTTGGGTGCGCGCCCTCCGCTTTGGTGGCCCGGGGTTCGCCAGTTCGGGTCCTGGGCGTGCACCGATGCACCGCTTGTCAAGCCACACTGTGGCGGTATCCCATATAAAGTGGAGGAAGATGGGTATGGATGTTAGCCCAGGGCCAGCCTTCCTCAGCAAAAAGAGGAGGATTGGCAGATGTTAGCTCAGGGCCCATCTTCCTCAAAAAAAAAAAAAAATCTGGATTCTTTAATATGGCTGATACAAGGACCTTTTAGATCTGGCGCCTACTCACCATCATTCCCCTCCTACTCCACATCCTATGCTCTAGCCATCCTTAACTATCTGAGGTTCCCTGATCTGGTCACACCATCGTCTCTACACATGCTGCTGATGCTTCCTCTGTGCTTCACCTAGCTAATTCAGCTCACTTCTATTTATCAGCTTAGAATTCACTTTATCCAGGAAGTCTTTGCTGTCCCACCACAGCCTACAATAACCTCTACTACACCAATTCCAACCCACTCTTCATAGACTTTATCACATTATAATACAATGGCTCAATTCTCTGTATTCTCCCTCACTACCACCAGACAGTAAGCCCTATGAGGACAGAAACTGTGACTGTTGTTCACTTAACTGTAGTATTACAACAGTCAAGCAGAAAAGTGAAGATTCATTAACTATCAGGACTGCACCTATTCTAGGAATTATGGAATCACTTACCAGGATTTTTAAACTGGTCACTCTCCTGAATATCAGATGTTGGTTTTGCAAAAGTCAGACGTATACTCACAGCTGATTGTCCAACTTTTGGAATTTTACAAAGGAGTTTTACAGAGGCAGCATAGCAATTAAGCACACAGACTCTCAGGAGCCAGAATGCCTGAGTTCAAAACTCTAACTGCCATTAACTAGCAGTGACAAACTACACCTCTCTAGGTGTGTTTCCTCATCTGTAAAATGCAGCTAACAGCACCTACCTCTTAGGGTAATTATGGTTATTAAATGAGGTAACTAACATATAGTAAGTGGCAGAGATAGGCAAAGTGCTACTTAAGTGTTAATACAAGAAATCCAAATTTACTACAATGCTGAGTAAACAATGGTGTGGAAAGGCTTGGCAGGCCTCACTCAATGGAATTCACAGCTTCAAATACCCCTCCAAACAATAAATATATTTTTAAATTTTCCACTCCTCTTTTTAATATAATAAACGCTTAATATAATAAATGGTTAGTCTATAAATCAAACATACTTCAAATGCCTCTGGGGAATCAGTTATGTAATTTAAACCTGAGATAAATTATTACAGTATGATGAACCCAGAAAGAATATTAGAGATCATGAATTATCCCACGTTGTGGCACTTCCCTTCCTCCCATCCCATTAAAAGATATATATATACCAGGATGGTTCACTCTAATACACTTGCTTACATATTTTTTAAAGCAATTCTAATGTCCAGGAGAGTTGCTAATCACCATCTCTTACTGCTATTACTTAATAATCCTACAGTCGGTGCTGTCCCAAACAGAAGCGAACAATTTTATGGCAGAGAAAAGTGCACTGAACTCCCAGGCTCTTCTGATGTCAAATCTGGTGCAACTGCAGAATCCATGTGACAGATGACAAAGCAAACCGCCAACACCTCCGCTAGCAGCACTGAGACCCATTCGTCTATTTTCTAAACAAACCCCAGACCTGCCATTCCTGCCTCGCCCACCTCATCGTCACGCTTTAAGCCGGAAGTTCCGCGGCGGGGGGGCGGCACAGGAGCTGGGTGCGGGCCGCCGCAGCGCGGGGTCCGGAGACGGCAGGGCGCTCCGAGCGCCGTCCGCGGCGCCCCCCACGGCTCTGCAGGCGGGGGCTCCCACGCCCTTCCCCGCGCCCGTCCTCTACCGCCAGAGAAGACCGCGGGCTGAGCGCCCCCAAAGGACCCCGCGCGCCCGCACCCCTCACCTCTGCCGTCCCCTCCTCCCCGGGGTCCAGCCGATCCAGGCTCCAGCCCAGGGACGCCGTCACCTCCTCCAGCGTCCGGCAGCAGCTCTCCACGAACTCGCTCAGCTCCTCCTGCAGCCGCCGCCGTTCCTCCACTGGGGGAGGATCGCCCTCCATGGCGGCGCCCAGCCTGCCAGGAGAAAGCGGCCGAACTGCCGGCGGCGCGCGCGCGCGCGGGCCTCTGGGAACTGTGGGCGGGGCGCCGTCACGTGACTGGAACCGCCTATAGGAAGGGGCCCCGGCAAGGGCGGGAGCTGTTGTCTTGAGAGGCGTTTCCGGTCTCTTCAAGAGGTTGATGGTTTTGCAACTGCTCCTGGGTGCAATTGCGCCTGGTGTTTCCTGAACGGCATTTCCCCCGCCGCCCCACTTTTTAAAACAATGGTTTATCTCTACAGAGAAGTTTCAAGACTAGTACAATGAGCTTTCGCATAGCCGTCCTCCATCTCATTAATTGTTAACATTTGGCCACATTTGCTTTCGCCCGCTTTCTCCACACGCACAGCCCCGCACACTTATTTTTGCTGAGTTATTTGAAACTAAATTGCAGACACTTCACCCCCAAATATGTCCGTATGCATCTCCTAAGAATAAGGACATTTTCCTACATAACCAACAATACGTGATCAAACCCAAGAAAATTAATCATTTCATAGTATCATCTAATATACAGTTCATATTCAAATTTCCCGTTGTCCCCCAAATTCCTTTTATAGCCGTTTTATTATTTTTTTCAACCTATGAGCTATAATTGGTTGCCTTTTTTAACCTAGAACAGTGTCCCCCACCCTCCTTTTTAAATTAAGTCATTGAATTGTGTTAGCAGCCTCAGCCAGTCGTCTTGTAGAATGGCCCTCTTTCTGGATTTGTCAGATTTTTTTTCCCCTCATGATTAGACTAATCATTTTTGCAAGATGTGTGTTCCTTTTTGTTACATCTCATAGATAACACATATCTTAGATTCTCCTGCTATTAGTAATGCTAAATTTGATCACTTGGTGGAGCTAGTGACTGCATCACTTCATGATAACAGTCCATTTTCCTCTTGGTAATTGGTATGTAATCTGTGGGTGATGCCTTGGGGGCTTATGAATGTCATGTTCCCAACAAACACACAGAATCCTTCACTGAATGTTATTACATTAGGGGTTATAAATGATGATTCTCTAATACTATGGTGGCTTCTACATTTTTAAATTCATTATTACATGGGCCGGCCCCGTGGCTTGGTGGTTAAGTGAGCGCGCTCCGCTGCTGGCGACCGGGGTTCGGATCCCGGGCGCGCACCGACGCGCTGCTTCTCCGGCCATGCTGAGGCCGCGTCCCACATACAGCAACTAGAAGGATGTGCAGCTATGACACACAACTATCTACTGGGGCTTTGGGGGGAAAAAATAAATAAATAAAATCTTTAAATTCATTATTACATACTCTATTACCATAATTCTTGTTAATGCTCAAATTGTCCCAAATTTGACCAGTGGAAGCCACTTTAAACCACCCCGTTTCTCTTTGACACATCCCCACTGGTTCTTGAGCACTTCCTTCCTTTGATTAACCCGTTTACTTTGTACATCTCCTACCCAAGACCTTAATCTAATCCCTCTTATACTATTTTTTATTTTTATTTCTTTCAAGCCTGATGCCAAATCTTTGCTTTACCTTTGCATTTGTTTCCACCAGATGAAGAAACCGTGCAGGAAATTTTTGTAAACAACTATTTCCAAAGGCAAATAGCACAGTTCTCTCACTTAAAAAAAAAGGTGGGATGGGGACGGCCCAGTGGCATAGCGGTTAAGCTCACGCGATGCGCTTCAGGAGCCCAGAGTTCTTGGGTTCGGATTTCAGGCACAGACCTACATAACACTTGTCAAGCCATGGTGTGGCGGCATCCCATATCCGAAAAAAAAAGAGGAAGGTTGGCATGGATGTTAGCTCAGGGACAATCTTCCTCACCAAAAGAAAAAAAAAAAAGGAAGGGGTGATAATGAGTATAAAAAGGTAGTACCATAAAATACAGAAATAGGCCAGTAGTTGCAACTGGATGTGTGGTAATTAGTTTATTCATATTCTGCCCACAGCATTGTTACTTTTTATTTGCACTTACGTAGTGAGCCAAGCATCCTGGAAAATGTGAGACTACTTCTGGATGTGAAGTGATGACTGTCATTGAAAAGTTACATATTTCCTTTTCTGAGGATGCACTGTATATGTGAACCAAATCAAAACTTAGCCCAGGTCAAGTGTGTCCTCTCTTCAGGACTCAGTCCTATCTCACCTGAGCTTAATGACTTTGGCAGCAGCTTGGAGGGGCCCTAGTTTCAATCTGAGGAACTCCTTTACATTGATGCTTGTTAATCTCTGTTTAATCATCCTTTTCCTAAAGAGGTCTCCTGACCCCTGTTCTAGGTTAGGCCCCTATTATGGGCTGAATTGTGGCCCCCCACACCCAAATTCCTGTGGTGAAGCCCTAACCCCCAATTGTGGCTGTATTTGGAGATAGGGCCTTTACAGAGGTAATTAAAGGTTTAATGAGGTCATAGCGGTAGGGCCCCAATGCAATAAGACTAGTGTCCTCGTCGAGGAAGAGACACCAGAGCTCCCTCACTGCCCCTCACTGCCCGCTAGCCAGGAAGACCTCTCACCAGAAACCAATCCTGAGGGCACCTTGATCTTGGACTTCTAACCTCCAAAACTATAAGATAAACTTATTTAAGCCCCCCAGCCCATGGTACTTGTTATGGCAGCCTCCATAAGCTGATACAGCCTACCAGCTCCAGCAGAGGATCCTCCTTCATTCCCCCCAACTCACTATTTACCACATATTTTTTTTCTTCTTTTTATATTACAAGGGCTATTTTTGTACCATGTATTTCTACTATGGGATCCATAGCTTCTGGCACAATGCATGGCACACAAAAGAACTCAATATTTAGTGAATGAAATTAATTACAAGTCCTCCAGATTGGGAAGGTGGCAAGGGGAAGAAAAGGAGAGGTAAGTTAGGGAAGAAATGAGTGCTGTTTTCACCCTAAGTACCAAAAGCCCCCAATAATTTAAGTATTCTCTTCAGTATGATCTTTTTTGTTCCACACAATTAGCATTTCATTTGTTTTCCTATTTCCTATCTGTACTATTTGATTATATTAATATATACTGCTGATTTATGAAAGTTGTCCCACTGATTGCTTTGTGTGTGTCTTCTGTCCCCATCCAGACTGCAAATGCCTTGAAGTCAAGGGGGCTACTAGTATTAGCCCAATACTAGACATAATTGATATTCAGGAAAGTCATGTTAATTTAATGACAAATGTCTGAATTTCAAAAGTTTCTCTTTAACCCAAAGAATAAGCTTACATCTCATTACCCTTCAACAGAGAGCCAAGAACTCTTCAGGAATCACTTTCATAGACTCAAGGACAATTCTTTCCTCTTAGGGAACAAAATGAAACATCATGTATTTTGAGGATACCCAAAATGGAATCTTAGCCACTTCATGTTTTCTAAATGGCATGATGGTGACTTTTGCCCATGCTACTGGGTACTCACTGTCGAGAATAAACTAGAACTGAGTATTGACCTCTGGCCTGGCCTCTTTACACAAGCTTCTTTCCAAGGACTCTGCCTGGTACAGAAATATTGAAAAAACTTACTTCAAAAGACCAACTTCTAACAAGAATTTGGAACTAAAGTAGTTTTTCAATGGTCTTTCTTAATAGGTATTTAGTAAATAGATGGTTTTAGACGTATTTTACAGTAAGCAAAAGCTGCTGCTAAATGCCCTTGTGTGTATAAACATACTATTAAATCAAAACGCAAAAACTTCAAAAGTCTAAAAGTTTATTGCCAAACTTCATAAAGACACCTTTTTCAAGTACACAGAAAATGACAAGCAAAATAAACAGAAAACTTTGACCCAAGAAAAGGCAAGATTGCTGCTATCATGCACATAACAGTCAAATTCATACCAAACCAAACAGGTGCATTAAGAGTATACGGGTTATACAATCCACAATCTAAAACTAAAGGAGACTCATTCCAAAATGCTTGGGTTTGGGGTGGGTAATTTTATCCTAATACAGAAAATGGAAGTATTTAGACAAGAAACAGAAAAGATGACTAAAATATCAATGATCAATTTAATTTTTATCTCCAAAGAATATGAATCTGATTTATACGCCGAAAGATGGTCAAGACGAATCGATCAAAAATCTAAACACGGAAGAAACGCATTCTAAATTCAATTTTTGCTATCCTTACAACTGATTACCACGTCATACACACTACATCCAGTGTGTTACTAAGGTGAGCTAAGAAGATAAAAAGCCAGAACAGCCTTAACTATTTGATTTCAACCATGACTATGTTTTTTTAAGCACAGAAAGTTCTATCACTATACTGCAAGCACTAGGTTTTCTTTTTTTATTATGTAGTAGAGTGAAAATTCATATAAATGAAACCAAGGTATACCGACCATTTCCAACTGACTACTAGTGCCCAGTAGAGCTAGTGCTAAAGGAGTAGGAATAAGAGTAGGAAGAATTCCCTGTTGCATCAAAGCTTCCTCTCCGGGACCCACTTCGGGAACCAGAGCGAGAGCCGGATCGAGATCCAGAGCGGGAGCCAGAGCGGGAGCCTGGGGCAGAAGACACGTTATAGGGGCTAGGCAAGCCCTTGGACGAAACAGAGGCAGCCTCCAGAAGGCGTAGGCCAGTGACGTCTTCCACCATGGAGCGATTTATGGCATCCTTGTAGGATATTTTTAATTTGGTTTTGGGGCAGGTCAGGATTTTGGCATAGCTGCTGGTGTCTTGCAGCCTCTGAGCTGCTCGGCCGTCGATGAACCCCTTTCTGATGGCTTCTTCTGTGCTTATCCTCCCATGCACTTCCGGGTCAACAAGGCCTCCCGTGAGGTACTGGAACTCCAGGAAGCGCTGACCTGCCTCATAGGGGAGCCATTTTTCTTTCACTGCTTCTGCTGCTGACATCTTCTTCTTTCCCTTCACACCCTCAAAGCCAATGAAGGCTTTCTGAGCAGGCTTCAGCCTGGTGGCCATATCTTGGTCAATCAGGCCCTGGGAGACCGCATCCTGAAGCGACAGCTTTTGCCCGGTTGTGGGGTGGATGATGCCACCTGTGCAGGCCTGAGCCTCCAGA